AATCGCGAGTTAGAGCGAACCCACGGATGGATTTGAGCAAGGGTATCAAGTATCAAAGTATTTGTATCAAGTATTTACTGCTTTACTGTTTTTCGATTAAATGGCACGTACTGTCAAATGTTCTAGACTACCTGGTATATTGTATAACAGTACTACAGAATATTCTATGTTTAATACAACTCTATATTGGATATATAAAACCTAAATAGTGTTATATATTCAATGCTAATTCGTAATGATTGTCATTCGAAAGTATTTGGGGAATTACAAGAAAACATATGATTTGGTAAAATAAAACACGTTTTGCTCGCACGTGACGTCACTATGCACACACCTTCTTTCATACGCCTTGGTAGTACACAGCATTTTATATCTTCCAAACCTCAGACTCAAAGTATTATGTAGGCCTACAAGGGAGTTTCAGATATAACTATCGTGGGAGAGGCAAGCAGCTAAGAACTGGTAACAGCAAAGAATTTACTTCCAATTCATTTGAAGAATAGGACTACTGTACCAAACATGGCATCAGGCATGAATTAACCGCAACATACAGCCCACAACAATGTGGTTTAGTGGAGCGTATACTATGTTCGTAAACACAAATCTACCTTAGCACTTATGGGGAGAAGGCAATACCAACAAAATAGGGGAGAGGCAATGCCAACAAAATAGGGGAGAAGCAATACCAACAAAATGGATCGCCTACTCGAGCAATTGATGGTAAAGTACCAGCAGAAATTTCTCTAGGTCACCTTAACCTTGAAAATTTTGTGTGTTTGGCAGTAAGGCATGTGTATATAGGCTACAAGTTTAACAAGTTAAAAAAGTGTTTTGTTAGAAGTTTAGAAGTTAAGAAGGGTTGGCGAGTGTAGGCCAATATAAGGAATCAATGATAACTACTACCAATGATATATCATCATCCATCACGTGACGTCATGATTACCAGATCGCCAACTCAACGGCTGTTGAACGTCATCCATGCTAATAATAATAATATTTAGGATCTTAATGTTTGCAATGTTAGTTATTTATTTTCTTATAGGTCTAGCCTATACATTTTTTGTTGTAACTTATACTGTCTTACAAAATTTAATAGGCCTAACTTATGCACTTGTAAACAGTTCCTTTTTTTAAACCATTCGGTAAAGTTACATAAGAAATTTCTTTTAGGTAGATAGAGTAGTAAATAGCTTATTCCCTATAGGGGAAATTCGCTAAAAAAAGAAAGTTTTTTTATTTAAAACCAGTGTTGTATTTATTTACAGTTTAACGATAAAGGATAACTGATTTTTTTAAAGCAATTTTAAGTAGGCCAACTGCAATGAGCTGTGACTCTTGGAACATTTCATATAAATTTTTGGAAGGACTTAAAATTGAAGGTGAGTATAGAAAATAACCGCTTAGTAGGCCTATATCAACCTCAACTTGTTGTTTTAATGATTGTAATATAATGCTGTATAGTGACAACACTGTTAAATGAGAATAACTTTAGTGTCATGTTGTTAGTCAATCTGGAGTTATGTAACATCTGTCATAAGTTGTTTGTTGTAAGCCTACAAGATAAAATGTAGTTTTATAATAAAGTGAATATTGTAACAGTCATCAGTTTTATTTAGCAACCAAATGAATAGTTTTTCTTTACAGGAAAAAAACCTCTCAACAAGTAGAAAATTAAATTGAAAGTGCTATGCAGGTTCTTTCCTTGTGTCTAGAATCAATTTAACGCAACGCAACAAATAATTTTTGGATGCAATTAGGCTATTATTAACAATGTACATACATACAGATATTTGATTGAAGTAGATTTAAATAGCATGTCTTTAACTTTGACTCAAAAACCAAGCATTGGCGTCATTACACTGACGTATCAACATCTTTTGGCACCTGGATTAAGGGCTTTACTTTTAGTTGTATTTTAGGAGAATAGAGGGAGGCTGGGTATTTTCATTTTCTAAAAAAAGGTACTTTTTTTAAAAATAACAAGAAATTTTAATGCTAGTTTCACTGCTTTCCCTTGTACTACCTCACACTAAGGCCCGGTTCACACGAGCGACATACCTAGCCGACTAGGCTGTGACAGGTAAGGTAAGCCCGACTGGATAGCGGACCACAGGATCAAATGGAGCCGTTCACACGAGCGTAGGACGCCGACTAAATAGCCGTGTTCGAGCTTGGTGTCCCAAAACCCAGTCGGGCCTCGCTTCCCAGTCACTCGTGGCAGTTACCCAGTCACCCAGTCGAGCGGTGTAGCAGTACACGTACAGGGTGTTTACTGGATTCTGGATAAAAAATTCATGGACAATTCCCGTACATTTAAGGACACTTTGTCGTAACCGTTGTCGCACAGATTACCGAATATATTTTCCTGATTTGTCAAACTGTATTAATCTTGTTCTTCACTGTAGTTGTACCAGAGAGAAAAGTAAGTAGGTAATAATAGACAAGAGTTAGAAATTTATTGAAATGAGCAAACATTTACTTTGGGTAAAGCTTTAGTGTAACAGAGAAACCCAATCATCGTCTACCGCAATAGCAACAAAATCCTGAATATCTCGATCGGTCATGGAAACATTATCATATCATATCCGATCTATGTGGGTTAGTTAGGCGTGATTCGCCCTAGCACAACGTTAAGTTCTCGACTACTTTTGAAACAAATCTTTAATACATATATTGTACCTCGGTTCTCGGTACAAAATCGGTATGGTAAGCGGCTACCAGTAAGCACAGAGAAAGATTATTGTCTTTTAATTTGCAAAGTTATTGGGATCAATTACATTTTCTTAGTATATTCTACAGCTCTTTCAAAGAATAAAAATACCCAGGCCTGGACCTAATTATTTAGGGGGGGGCTATATCAACTGAGTAACAAACAATGAGGTTATAATAGCAGCAAAGTCACCATCATCATTCTAGTTCATAAGATTTAGATTGCTTAAAGCATATAACACAATAAATAAATATGGGAAACAAAAACATTGAAACTGTGACGGCCCCAAAAATTCCCAGACCCAATACATATCAGTTGGGGAGGTTTTTGCTACACCCTCAAGAAACTCTTGTCAGTACCGTCACAAAAGCTTTGCTTTATTTCAAATATAAAAGGAGGGTCTGTAATATTGGATTGTTAACCTCCCAACTTTTTGCGTCAGCCAGTTGCCTCACCATGGAATATTCCATCAGCATGGCTCAGCGCTAGGCCGGGCCAACGTTCTCGGAAAGTGTAACGCGCATAGCTGGAATTTGCTGATACAGCTCAGCAAGTCGCTCGATGAAATCAGTTAATGCGCAGCTACAGTTTACCTAACGCCCCGATTGATCGTTAGGCAGCAGCACTATCCAGTGTTAGCACTGACGTCACGCGGCATAGCCGCAACGTGATTGGCTGGTTCCCCTCCACGCCCAACTCTGGGCGATGGACAGGGAGCACTCAGTCTAGTTAGTCTAAATTCTAAATTCATTTCGGTCGGTCATGTAAAGTTCTGTTCTGCGTCGCCTTGCCCCATAGCCTGCTTGGGAGGCTATGTTCCCCAATAACTTATTTTATTAAATAGATAAACTATACAGCAAGTCAGAAGCTACAAATTATTTGCTTTGTCATAAATTATTTATTCGTAGCGCATTTTCGTTGTTTCACTCTGCTACCTGTCACAAAACCTGAACAGCCAACAATATAAGACAAAGATACAGAAAATGCAATGACATGATTTGAGACCAAGTAGAGGCCTGCTACAATTAATGCAAACAACAATGCTTGTGGTTTTGTCAATTAAAAGTAATATCCATAAAAAATTGTTTTAACTTACAAAATAATATTGTAGATTAGTTACAAGTTTAATATGAAACCGTAAACAGTTTTATGACAGTAGGCAATGGCCAGCGGCAAATTGAATGTTCAAGAGGATAAAAGTACAAGTAAGAAGTGAAACAGCCATTATAATAAAACTATTATTTCCATGATTAAATAGGATTGGGATCTCATAATAATTACCCAAGTAATAAATAATGGAAGTTGTAAAGGAATAAAAGTGATAAAATTGTTATGAACTAAGCTATTTTCACAATGGTTCTTGGAAGTACTTGACTTGACACTTGATTGTGGTGATAAAATATTAATGGGTTTGAGCTTCTAATGGTCTTTTATTGCACAATTATCCTAGTAATAAATTTCTGAAAATGTAAACTAAACAAACATCTGATAAACCTTGTATGTGCTCCTAACCAACTAGCAATCGATAAAATTATTGCCCATTAAAAATTTAAGGACATAGTCTGGCATTTAATGACAATTGTGGTACATTTTATGGCCAGTAAAAAATTAAGTACAATTCCGGTTTTCCTGATTGGTAGACACCCTGACGTAGCTTTATACGAGCGTTCACACGAGCGATCGGGTAGTTTCGCTGCTGTTTGCATTCTTCCCTTTGTTCTCATTGTGCACACGTGATGGATCCCAGAGGTTTTGATAACGATATTTTCATCTAGTACGGGGACATGTCGCTCATGTGATCCTGTGGTCCACTACCCAGTCGGGCTTACCTAGCTTTACCTAGTCAGCTAGGAAAGTCACTCGTGTGAACCGGGCCTAAGCTGGTGCCTGGGTGAATCCATCCCCTTTCCCCTTGCAACGCCACTGGTTGTTTTCCTACATTTAGATAAGTCAAGGCTACATCCTACAAGGATTTTTGAACAAAGAATGATTTCTCATAATCTTAACATTAAAACATTGTGGAACTGTAATATAGGCCTAAGTCCGATAGAACTATAGAGTAAACTTTGCTTCATCAAATCATGGAAATCTGTACTTAAAAAAGGACAAGGCACTTTTTTTTCTGTTTACCTTTATGAAACATATAAAAGACAAGCTTAAATGTGCTAATTTCTTAAAAACACAAAGGCCACTAACATAGTGCTAAATTAATTGACTCCAATTATTATCATATAAAAAAAACTTAGCATGTCTATTCCATAACAGATTAAAAAACTAGGCCTAATATTACCTGGGGTCTACTCCTCCACATTCTTCTTTGGAAGGTAGATCTCCATATTCAGCAAACAACAAAAAATAATCCGAAAATATATTCTTATCAAATGCATTACTTTTATTTTTATGGAAATATTCAATCCATTCATCCAGGTTCTTTACTTTTTCTATATCAAAGGCTGGCTCAACATCAGACTCTCCTAATACTTGATCTTTTGTTGCTTGTTCACCAATTGCTTTCCACAAGTTGAGCTGTCTTTTAATATGCTTTTCTTTTTTTTCAGGCACATATCGTTGCAAACCTTCCATGTTTTCAGTGCCAAGTACAACGCATCCAGCATAAAGCCCTGCCAATTTTCTTTCTGGCCATATATAGCCGTTGTCCGTGCTGCAATCGTACGTCAATACATCTGGTTTTTTTTTTATCCTTTGGCTTACCTGAAAATCAAATAATTTATATTCAGGTAAAATTTGTTTTACATCAATAAATACTGAACATTTCATTTCATTTTTTTTAGTAGTTTTTGTATAACTACTAAAAAACATTAACACATGAACATCAACACTTTAATTCTTAGAAGTTGTTTGTTGAAATAAATACCTTCTTTTTAATACTACATAGCTGAGATAAAGCTATGCAATTCTTCCAATAATTTTATAAATTGTAGAACAACACAGGTTCAAGAGGCATTTATCTATAACTAGTTATATACGTCACAAATTGTTTAAGAGTCTTCATCACCCTCGGGCTAGTTGCGTTTTAGGGGTATGACCTTGAGGGGAAGGTTGTTTGGACAGATGAGTAGCCTGGGGTTATTGTGTGTGTGATTCTGAAAACATGGCAAGCACCTGACTATTAGAGATTTAATGGTGAGGTACCCTTTTACATTGAACCTCACGTATCGATCTCATATCACAGGCAACACTGCTCTTTCTATTTATATTATTTCTTGGTACAGATTAAAACCTTGAGAGTTTGACAGAGCTTTGGCTCATATGAACTTCAAACAACCTAACATACACACACCAGTCTATGACTATAGAAAGAAGCTGCTAGGGTGTGAGCCGATGTCATGGTTAATAACAAGAAGTAAACAATGGCCGGACATTTCTTGAGTAGCTAAAAGTGCCTAACAGCGGCACGCTTTAAAGCTGAAACATGGGTTATTTTAGCTGCTTCACATAAAACTCAAATACAAACATTTTCATGTAATTTTTTTGTAAAGCCGAAGTTATAGTAAAGATGAGCATAAATAAAGTTTGTAAATTGATTCCACAGAGAAGTAAGACACAGAGGAAACATTCAATGGTACACTTAGACCTCAATGGTTTTCAATTTACTTCCTAATTCAATAAAAGCTGAAACAATTACAAAAGATTTAAGCATCGGTTGAGGGAATTTTTAGTTAGGCCTACTAAAGAATTCTACAAGGTGTCTTCATTTGTAAATAATTACAATTAATTTATATAATATGTACCTCCAGAAGTTTGTATTTTTATTTATAACTTTCTAGTTTTAGTTTTTATGTTTTATATATTTAGTTTTGGTGACTTTTGCCTTGTACTTTATGTATAATTTTTAGAAATAAATCTATCCAACAAGTCAGTAATATTGTCACTTGCACTGTCCAAACTGCAATATTTACAATGTACCTATGCCATTATGCATTGTATTCTTAGTCTACAGATTATTGAAGATTGTTAAACCCACCCTTATCGGTTGCTTTCGAGCTGGCGGGTACGTTCTTTTTTCCTTTTGTTGTAAATCCGCCTCTTTTCCAGCACTAAACCACACAACCCCCTCAGATGTCGAATTTGAACATGAAGGTCCGGCTAGAGACAATTGTTGAAGATCAGAAGGGAGTGAACAGCCCTCGTTCCCTTTTACCCCCTCAGATGTCGAATTTGAACATGAAGGTCCGGCTAGAGACAATTGTTGAAGATCAGAAGGGAGTGAACAGCACTCGTTCCCTTTTACCCCCTCAGATGTCGAATTTGAACATGAAGGTCCGGCTAGAGACAATTGTTGAAGATCAGAAGGGAGTGAACAGCACTCGTTCCCTTTTACCCCCTCAGATGTCGAATTTGAACATGAAGGTCCGGCTAGAGACAATTGTTGAAGATCAGAAGGGAGTGAACAGCCCTCGTTCCCTTTTACCCCCTCAGATGTCGAATTTGAACATGAAGGTCCGGCTAGAGACAATTGTTGAAGATCAGAAGGGAGTGAACAGCACTCGTTCCCTTGGTTACTTAGTTCTGCAGGATCGATACTGTCGATAAGTTCGATAAAGTCTGCAATCGAATCTTGTTCTTCGACAGGCAATATTGGATTTGCCTCACCCTCCATGTCTTCTATAACAGAATAAATGTTATTTTATTTACAAGTCTTTATCAATTAATGGTCAAATTGGGGCAAACCCGAGCTTGAATTCAAATACCCCCTACCTAGCAATCCTCCAGACTAAGCAAATTTTAATTTTTTTAATTGGATTCATACTAAAATAGTTCCATAAACAAGACATAGGTATTTATTTAGCTTTTAAATGACGAGTAGGCCTACTTAGGTTTGTTTGCTGCTATAGAAAAGTTTTTTTTTCGGCCAAATGTTATTAGTGTAAGGTGAAATGTTGTTATAAATGTAGGTACAGTAGACTCCCTCTTATCCGGACTGCTCGGGACCGAGGCCAGTCCGGATAACGGGTTTTCCGGTTAAACCAACATCCCCAAAAACTCATTAAAAGGGACCACTTAAATGCATGCAACCCAAATATTTGACTCAAATTTAGGAGAGCATTGAGTTTATACATGTTATGGCTGGTCTCAAATCTTTCCCACGAGAACAGTACCGCCCACTTCCTGCCGATCAAGTCCGGTTAAACCGATGTGCTGATAAAAGTTGTCCGGTTAAAGAGATTACATTTCCGCCGAGATTACATTTCCGCCGACTGTAGTCCGGTTTTAATCCGATGTCCGGATAAGAGGGAGTCTACTGTTCTCCATTTTGACACCCTTACATCTAATGTAAGGCCAAATTATGGTAATGATAATAATTTGGAAAATGTCATAAGTTCTTATATGGATCTGATAGTCAAAGTAACAGTATGATCAATGTAACAGTCAACTACAAAAGTTATGGATAAGTTATGGATACTAATTCAATAACGTACGGTATGGATACTGATTCAAAAACGTATACGGATATGGATTAAATAACATATTGATAACTTACTGATTCAACAACACATATGGCTACGGATTCAATAACGTGACATATGAATACTGATACCCCCATGAATCAAATTTTTATTTTGATCATCACTGAATCGAATCGGAATTCCGATGTATTTTCGATGCATCGCACACCCTTCAAATGGTAATTCCGTCCTAATGATCAGGAATACGGTACACGACTCAAAAAAATTTGACAAAGTTTTGGGATCCGCTAATCTCTAATTTTGAAGGGTTAGATTATTCGCGAACTTCGGCTGAAATTCATTACTTTTTTCACGACCTATCAAAATCCCCGACTTTTTCCCCAATTACCAGACTAGTAACTTAGACACCCTGAATTATTACAGCCAACATCACACCATTAGGGATCTTGCGATACTATCGATACGGGTAGGTACCGATACTTTTATTACGATACGGTATCAATACAAAAAATCGGAAAGACAGTGGTATTGCAACATCCCTACACAGCATAATGGCATGTCGATGTCAGCTTAGCAACTTACACCAATCGAACAGGTTTTAGCCTACATTAGCTTAATACAGTGCATGCTAAACAATTAAAATTAGCTTCATTAGGACAGAAACATCTATTCTAATTAGTTTTGATAATCTTGTTGTAAGTTAGTATATTATGAATATTATCTTATTTTAGGCCTAAGGAGTTTTTGTTCTTCTAGCCTAGGTACTTTTGCTGTAAATTATTACAGTAACATAAGCCTATGAGAATTTAAAGTATTATTTAATTCATTCGTTCACCATACTGCCACTCAGTTCTAGTCTGTTAAATAAGTACCTATTCTGGAAACCAGGGGGGAGCTACCGGTCAACAGTCACCAATCAGTTAGCGTCATGGTAACCGCCATGGTTCTCAGGGAAACAAAAGCTTGTGCAATTAGCCACGCCATAACAATCACTATGACCCTTCTACTGTTATTCTATAAATAAATAATGGTTTAAATACCTTATATTTTACTGTCAAAGTGATCCATCATCGGCAACGAAACTGCAGTAGCCTATATTTGGACTACAAAGGATCGCTTTGACAGTATAAGGTATTTAAACCATAATTTATTACTATACCAGTGATCCGGAGGCTAACAACATGAAGTTGTCTTATGTTCACTGTCTAGCCTACAAGGTGCAAGGTTCGTCCTGAGAAGATTGATCCCAGTAGAATATCTCAAAAAGGGTGTGAATGTTGACAGATTTTCTGTGGCTTGGGCAGATAAGGCTACTTGTGTGATTGAACCGCCTAAACCTTAGGTAAGGGGCCTAAGTTAGACCTATGATCTATTAAACTACAAGGTTAAGCTAGGTAGAACGAATATGAATTAGTTTTAAGTTACTGGACAACCTATCTGCTTATTAGAAACTCATTTCAAAACGAAAGTCATAATAAATATCGGACAGCATCTAAAGCCTGAAATAGGCATTGCAGCCACTTAGGCCCCTATAGCTTTAAGTTATGGAAGTACCCTAAGGCCAAAAACCCAAACCCAAAGGGGTTTAATCGTCCCAACAAACGAATGGCAAAACGTAGGCCTAATTAAGTTGGTTGTAAAATCTAAATATTTTGATATTCATACAATTATTATAGGCTAGGCCTAAGTTACTTACGACTGACAATGCCGCCACCAGCCTTTTCGGTAATGGCAATACTCTTCTCCTGTTCAAGTTCAGAGCTCTACTACTTGGTCCGCCAGAGAAGACGAAAATGATTGACTAATTTGGTAGTTTAGTTATTTGATAATAAGTATTTAAACCAAACCACGGCAAGGCACGAGGCGAAGCTCAGAACTCAGCGAGAGCCGATTCAGCCGAGAGCAGAGCAGAGCAGCAGAGGAGAAGCAGCGAAGCACGAAGCAGGAGCAGGAGGAAAAGAAAGAGGAAAGGAAAGGAAGGAAGAAGGAACCCTTTGCCCTTTGTTTCTAAAATTCTAAGCTAAGCGAAGCCGAGGTGGGTGGATGTGGAGGGAGGCTGGAAAAGCGCGCCAACGAATAGAATAGAGTAACAGAACAGAGGGCATGAGGTCGTAGAGTAAGAGCACAATAGCAACAGCACATCATAGTCATTGAGATGATTAAATAATAACTAGAGTCACCACTATGTGTTTAAAAAGCGTACCACTGTTTTTGCTGATTTTATCAGTGTTTCGAGTTGTTAGGTTGGCCTTATGATCGTTTGGTTGAGTGCTATCAAATTAGGGATAGGCAAGGTGGCGTCATTATGTTGTTTTGTTGATAGTTGATGCAGTAGTAAACAAAAATAGGTCAATATTATGCAATATTAGTTTATTTATTTACTTTACGGGGAACCCATATTACGGTAATTATATTAACCTCCGGAAATCACCCAAAATTATTTTATTTTTCAAAATGGTCGAAATTTCACGCTTATTACAAAAATGATTGTAGTTTTCTCGGGGAAGCGGAAAATATGTTTTGATCAAAACCCATGTCGTGGGAACTCAAATTGTGCGGAATTTCATCCTGAACAAGAATATTTAGTTTTTATTAAGATCGCTACAAAATTAAATATCGACGGAAAAGCGGGCCGTTCGTTGGTGACTCATTTGCTACGGGTACCGTATAGCGCCAGCGTTGCGGATGACTCCTACCACAGAAAACATACTACTATAACCGTATATGGTTATAGTAGTATGTTTTCTGTGCTCCTACTCAACTGTGGAATGTGGGCATTGTTTTATGTAAGATTATATTAGGTTAGTTTGGGTTAGTAACCCAAACTAAGGTAACCTAAACTAAGGTAACCTAGGTTATTTTAACCCTTACCAGAGTTAGTGGATAGGTGGGTATACTAACCCGGTGGCTGTGGAGAAGTAGTGAGGGCGAAATCGGTGGGCGAAGCGTACTTTAAAAAGGTACTCCGGTAAGGTAACCTAAGAAATGTTTCTCAACTTTGCCATACGTACCCTTTGTAATAGCTGCCTGGATATCCCACCATAACGTCGCTGTATGTTGTTGATATGCGCACCGGAATTCGGGTCCACAATGTTCTTGCTGTGATTTACTATCAGGTACTTGAATCTGCTTCTCTTTGCGTATAGTACGCCAACCAACAATCAGTGATGATGATTGATCCCTGTCGGACGTACTAACGGGCCTGTGTTTAACCAGGGTCTGTCTGGTACGGTCGGAGACACGGAGACAGGGATAAAAAAGCTCTCCGCAGTTCCTGTGACTACCCCTAGAACCCACTGTCCTTTGATCAAACTACCTCTGTTATATTTTCTTTTACCGAATTTTGCCTTATTTATTTCCACAACGTAACTGGGCCTACCTAACCGTTTTTTTTTTATTTTATTTTGTTTGTTGTGGAACAGCAGGACCTCACGATAAAAATAAAACCAGTCAACGACCGTGTTTGGTCCAAGATCAAGGATGTTTTGGAGGAAAGATTGCCGGAGAAGATTTTTGGTGTAGTAGATTACGTTGTTGTATTAATAGTCAAAGTTACTATCCTCCAAACCTTGAGTATAGGCAAGCAGGTATGGTCACGGAAATCGACGGCAAACATATTCTTGTTCAGGATTAAATTCCACACAATTTGAGTACGCACAACATTGGTTTTTGAGCAAAAAATATGTTTTCCGCTTATCCAAGAAACGGTACGTTTCAGAGAAAACAACAATCATTTTTGGAATCAGAGTATGAATTTTGACCATTTGAAAAAAAAAATTTTCGGATGAGGTTCGGAGGTCGATATAATTACCAAACCCAAGCCTAAACCGATATCTCCAAACAAGGAAACTTGATTATTTTCACCATTAATCATAGCTTGAAAAGAGGAAAATAAACATTTACCCCCCTAGGAAAAATAACTCGTTACAATCTTACAACTAAAAATCGTAATATTTCAGCCATTTCTTATTCGATCTTTTTGAACTTGATATTGTTTGGAAGGGAATTGAAAATACTAAATAAAAGTGTACTTGACATTTTTTTTTAATTTGCCGTTTTTAGTTATTAAAGTTTAAAAAATAAAAATGGCCGCCATTTTGAAATTTAATGTTGGATCTAAGCCCAAGATGAACTTTTTTTCTAACATGGGTCCCTTTTACCTTAACCTACAAACCAAGTTTTATAAAGATCGTTTGAAAAAATTTAAAAATAAAAATGTTTATGTAAAAAATACAAAATGGCAGATATCTCGTTAACAAAGTGATTTTGGAAAAAATGTCTCTCTTTTTGCCTGGATATTGGGATTACATTTATTGCGGATGCAATACATTGAGTGTTCTCCAGCTGGCTCCCGCGACGGTACTATTTAATATATAATACTGTTCGTCACAGGCCTGTGTTCAGTCCTCGATAACCATATGTCTTAATTCTTTGTTGTAAAAATGTGCGTTTGTGTTTATGTTAGTGTTTTTGTGAATATGACGACGTCCGAGCGATCGAAGGATCGACTACGTCAAGATAAATGTCGACTTCTTAACAACTACGTGACCATGACGCAACTATCGTCGAAACCATGGTTGTAGATAATAGGTAGGTTGTAGAGTCTTTGAACTGTGACGAAAGTAAAGATGGTAAAATAAACCACTTGATCCTGCACCGTAGGTATAGGGTGTTTCAAAAATCTCTCACGAAACTCAGTGCGCATGTTCCTGAGGTCAAAACAAACAAAAATATCATATAAACATTATGACCTATCGACCTCTCTCACTTCGTTTATGTTTGAATTATTATTTAAATATAACTGTTGACAAACGTCCAAAGCCAGCTGTAATAATTATTAATTACTTACTTTACTTACTTACTCACTCGACGTTGTTGACCAGCTCTTGCTGGATAGACTGAGTCAACAATAAAAATAATAACAATATTTATATACATATTTACAAGTTTAGTGGCAGGCAAATTTTATAAAATTCATCTAGGGATTATAAGGTCCTTGCCAGTATAGCCACTCCCTCAGTTCGTTTTTGTAAACTGAGGCCTCAAGGTTTTTAAAGTACAGTGGCAGTCGGTTGTACATCCTAATTGCCAACATATAGGAAAGCTGTCATTTTTTTGTTTAGTATGCAGAAAGGGATATCAAGGTTGGATTTTGACCTTGTATTGTGATCATGATGGTCTTCTCTCAATGCAAGACTAGAGATGTTGGTCCTTACGTTGGTGATTAGAATGTACTGGCTGTATACTGTAAGGATATTGAGCTTACTAAAAAGAGGTCTGCAATGTTCGTGGTAGTCAGCGGACGAAATAAGTCTGACTGCCTTCTTTTGTAACAAAAGTATATCCTTACAGCCAGCTGCATGGCCCCAAACCTCCAACCCATAGCTGAGATGGCTGTGGAACAAAGCAGACAGTTAGTAGGAGGTATTGCTTTGGATCAGCATAGGTTTGAGCTTCCTACAGAGAAGCAATGTCCTCGATAGCTTGGTGCACACTTTCATGGTACCTGTTTTCCCCAGGTGAGTTTGTGGTCGATTATGAAGCCTAATAATTTTACTTCAGGCAGGTTATCAGGGGTGGGATTCCGAGCTAGACTGCAGGTCATGTGTTGCGTTTTGCTTTCATTTAGGCAAAGCTTATTTGCTTTGAACCACGTCTTGGTTTTCTCGAAGGACTATACAGCCTTGACCCTGGCTTCCTTAGGAGTGCTTGCATCCGCAAAGATAGTCGTGTCGTCCACAAAAAGCAAGACGTTGTCTAGCTGCCCGAGGTCGTTCACCATCACCAAGCCACACAGGGCCCAACACAGATCCCTGGGGCACGCCATGTTTAACCGGCAATGGTTGTGAATTTGCCCCTTTTACTGCAAAATTATCTGTTTTCGATTTAGGAGGTAGGATTTAAAGGCAAGCAGTGCTGGCCCCCAACGCCATATAGATGTAACTTTTCTAGCAGTTGAATGTGGGAGACGCAATCAAAAGCTTTGCTTAAGTCAGCTCTAGGGTGAGTGCAACTGAATTCCCCTCTTCTAAAGCATCGACTATACCTTAGTGACAAGTTTAAGAACTGCAGTAGTTGTGGTTCTACCGCTCCTAAAACCATACTGTGAGTCACTAAACAGACCATTTGTTTCAAAGTGTTGAACAAGCTGTGTTTTCATTATAGTCTCATAAATCTTTGGAAACATAGGCACTATGGAAATTGGTCGATAGCGATAGCTTCCTGCATCTTCAGGGTTGCCCTTTTTTAAAATGGGTACTGTTTTAGAAACTTTTAAGACATCAGGAAAAACCCCATGGGACATACAAAGATTAAGTACTTTTGCTAGGGGATCAGCAATAATGTCCGCAACGTGTTTCAGCACAATGATGTTTAAAGCCATAGATATCCTGACTAGTTGTGTTCTTGAATTGTTTGATTATTTTAATGATATTTTGAGGCGTTACATAAGCCCAGTTATCTAGAGTTTATAATAGGCTTGTCCGGTATTTTAGTTCCAGTATTTACATCACTGTCAGGGTTTACTGAGTCAACAATTTTGTCAATTTCCCCCAGAATATGTTCATTGAATTATTTGAATTCATCAGGATTTGCGGGGCATTTAGAGTTGGGGTTGGCTTAGAAACACGATTTACCAAATTCCATGCCCCCTTGCACGGATTTTTCGCAGCTTCAATCTCAGTCATGTTTGCAAGTTTCTTTGCCTCGTCCACCTTTACTCTATACTACCTATATACAACAACTATACAACCTCTTTCTTACTTCTAATGTACAAGCTTAAGTACCTATTTTGATCTATTACCTCAACAGCATGCTTATGTTTATCGTTAAAAGCCAAGACGAGTTTCCTCATTTGATCTAGGTCAGGTGTGTGTGTCATGACTTACCACAGATTAGCTCACTCTTAGTAGTTGGTGAAGGTTTAGGCTTAAGCTTAGGCTTACGTAGGCACTATTTTTTTTAGGAAAGACCTGGTCAAAACAGCCCATAAAAATACTGAAAAAGGAGTCAAAAGCTGTCATTGAGTCATTGGTCTGAATTTCTGCATTCCAGTCTTTACTTAATAGAGATAGCCTAAGATAACCAAACTTATTTTCACAAACAGGTCTTATAATTTTATTTTGTTGTACATAGTAAATCAGGGCAAAAAATCAGAGTTACTCACCCATTGAGTGGGAACATCCAGGATTACCGGTCAGTGATCAGCCACTATCGAGTCAGCAACAGAAGTCACACAGGTCCTGGTGTCAAGCGAAGTTGCAAAAGTATTCAAGCATACAGGGCCACGTGTATGAGAGCGATTCGTCACAAAGTCCATGACTTTTTAGCACAAAACCGAGTTTATGCGTCCTTATTTCATCTTGATTTAGATAGATTGTGATAGATATATATCTATTCTAGCCAATTTTCACTCAGACATAGAACATCAGGAGACACATAATTTATAAATAAAGATAGCAGATTTGTTTTGGTAAAAAGAATAAAAAAAATTAATTTAATATTTAATAAAAAGATTGGGCAAGTAACATAATTTGTTTATGTTTAAAAATCATGCCTTCTCTGTTCAGTTTCCTCGGTACATTGTCATGTATGTCACGATAACTATAATACTCTTTGGCTTCATTCTATGTTCGTAATGTTCCTGACCCCTGGCTTGAACGTGACTACATTTTAAAACCGGCAACTATGAACATCTGTTTACTAAACACATGATTTGTTATTGTCACCTCCTGGCTTGCTCCTTGGCAAAGAAAAGAAACTAAAAGAAAAAAAGTTTATGCATAATCAACTAATCAAGCTGAAAACTAGTACTTTGGACTTCTGTCAAAAAAGTTGAAATTCTTTTCTTACTCCAATTTGTTTTATTGTAAAAATATTTAAAATTAGCAAAAATGAGCAGTTGAATTAAGTGTTAGGGTATCTCATAATCTAAGTGACGCATAACATCATAAAACTTCAAGAACTTACTTTCTTTAACAATATGGCAATTTCATTAAAAGGGGTTAGTTTAATTTCTCAACGATCAGTTCAGCTGTCTCCCTTCAGGTAGGCAAATGATTATATTAATCAATATGAAAAGTATAATAATTTACTTAACTTATAGGTTTAGTTCTTAGCAAATAACTTTGGAAAACAATTTTATTAACTTGCTCTACTTCTACTTATTTTTTGTTTACACTTCGTAAATAAGTTAATATTAAGTTCACCGGTGGTCTCAATTTCAGACTACTGTCAAGTATTTCTCAATTTCAGTCTCAAAATCTATGTTAAACTCTTGCCTACAGTATTTGAAACAAAATTTCTTGTTTGCTATATTTTTAAACTCAATAAGTTACTGCTAGTCCAGCACAACTTCCAGAATAGGCATCGAAAGAAGTTTTAAAATTATAACCCACTAAATTAGTCACTTTCGCAGTATATGGTGTTAAAAAGTTGGGTACAGTTTCTGAACTGGGCTATGCTAATATCGATTGAAACTATCGAATTGAAAATACTGATTAATATTTGATAACTTATTTTTAAATATATCTATTATAAAATTAAACTACCTATCATAACCTAACCTAACCAACCAAATTTGCTGATGGTGAAAATTTGCATGAAGGTTTACTAATAAAATCGATAGTTTCAATTGATATTAGCATAGCCCTGTTAAGAAACTGTACCCAAAAAGTTGGTGCATAACGTAAGTGATTTTATGTACCGTTTGACAATGTGGTAACTTTATCTCTATAAGTGCTATATAGCTTCATTTGGCTGAGCCAAACTGAGTGGGTTACCTGATAACTTCCTCTTCGCCAAGACCAGCTATGCCGGATTGGTTATGTCATAGGCCTAGTAAAAAAATAAAAAAAAACAAGGAATGACCTATTTGATAGATCAGCTAAAATAGCTGAATTTACTGTGCTGGTCAGATCTTAAAAACTAAACATAGGGTGAGTTGTATTACCGGTAATTACAAAGTGCACTAGCCTAACTATTGGCTCAATTGATTCAATAGGTCGGCCTGATATTCTTCATAACTAAGGAATGAATTTTAAGCTGGATATTACAGCTTCATTTTACAATAACTTATAGACAATATAATTATACAGGGTGAATAAAAAGTCAAGACCCCCCCCTCTAATATTTTTCCAAGTAAATATACAGAGATATCCTTTTGGCGGTCAAGCAATCTTAGCAGGAAGTTTCATTTTATCATTTTGAAATTTTTGAGTGTCCCCCCAAAAGGGGGGATTTGGGGGGCAACTCAAATATTTTAAATGTAAACCCCCTTCAAGTGACACCTCATTTTGAAGAGTTTACAAAAACTTAAAGAATGGTGAAAACTAGAGGTCGCTATCTCTTCTCTATCCAAAATGGTAGCCCGTCAAATGTTGTGGAAAATCAACGGTAAAATTGTTAATATTGGCTGCCATTTTGGATAGAGAAGAGATAGCGAGCTCTGGTTTTCACCATTCTTTAAGTTTTTATGAACACTTCAAAATGAGGTGTCCCTTGAAGGGGGTTTCTATTGAAACATTTTTAGTTGTCCCCCGAATCCCCCCTTTTGGGGGACACTCAAAAATTTTAAATGTAAACCCCCTTCAAGTGACACCTCATTTTGAAGTGTTTACAAAAACTTAAAGAATGGTGAAAACCAGAGCTCGCTATCTCTTCTCTATCCAAAATGGCAGCCAATATTAACAATTTTACCGTTGATTTTCCACAACATTTGACGGGCTACCATTTTGGATAGAGAAGAGATAGAAACCTCTAGTTTTCACCATTCTTTAAGTTTTTGTAAACTCTTCAAAATGAGGTGTCACTTGAAGGGGGTTTACATTTAAAATATTTGAGTTGCCCCCCAAATCCCCCCTTATGGGGGGACACTCAAAAATTTCAAAATGATAAAATGAAACTTCCTGCTAAGATTGCTCGACCACCTAAAGGATAAATCTGTATATTTACTTGGAAAAATATTAGAGGGGGGGGTCTTGACTTTTTATTCACCCTGTATGTACAGCACACAACATTATGCGGAGCTCTTAAGTTACACTTTTGATCCTAGCTCCATGTTAGAGCTCCGCTTTTGACCTGGCTAAATTAAGTATAACTTAGCTTGTTTTTTGCATTTATGCAATGTTGCATTTTGCAAGAAAATGAACCAAAATCTATTGAATCAGGCAGCTTAATGTTAGGCAAAACCATTAGGCCTAGAAAGTAATTGAAGTTTTGTCTTCAGTCCATGCAATTCTTCTTCAAATATAGATTACATCAAGTATGTCAAGGCCTATAAAGTTTTTATCAACCTATCATCAGGTCTTAAAAAAACATTGAATATAGGCCTATTATTCTTTTCACAGATTAGTCAATGTATGAATGGCCTAAAGTAGACTACATGACACATAACTCACATTAAACATTTGACATTTTTTTGAACTTAAAAAAAAGAAAGCTTACATTATGGCTGGTGATAGTCAGGGTCCTATTGCCTCAGAGTCCTATCGATTGTCAGAGTCGTATCGCCATCCGTTTCAACAACCTTATTTATTTTTAGTTTTTAAAAGTTAAAATTAATGTTGAAATGTTTTCATGGAGGCTAACTTATGTGTGTTGTAATCTTACCGTTCTGACAAGTAGGCCTATGTGAAGAGATTAATATGCATGTGTTTCATGTTTTTTTTTACCTTGTTATGTGTAAATAATTTAAAAATCATACAGGCTAAAAAATGAATAAGAAATCATTACTCTGCCAAGTTATAAACAAGAATGGTATTTTGCTATTCTTACTTATAGCCTAATTCCAATCATCTAAGCCTATCTGAAAATAAAGTCAAGTTGATACATGATATAATACTATTAGCAAGTAGGCTAATTGGTAATTGAAGGAAAATGCTCTTAAGTACAAATATGCCACCAAATCACTGGTTGCTGCTATAAAATATTTTTGTTTGAAAGCTGTTATGTTAACAATAAAAAAATCTATCGAGTACTTTATCGATCAGGTTCTTAAAGTACTACCATACCCAAAAATCGTCATGAAGGGAAATTGAATGTTTTATAGGTTTAATAAATGTCCTACCCGTTAAAAAAATGGTTTCACTTTATGTTAGTTTTAACATGTCTTTATACAAAGATTTTTCTTTGCTTAATATTACGTTTTATAGTGAAAGAATGTGAAAATCCACACACTATTTTAGAAATAATGACGTTTCATATATATTTCTATCGACCAGGTTGTTAAGATACTCCCATACCCCAAAACCTTAAGAAGAGAAATACCTAGAATCTTTTATAGGTTTCATACATGTCTTAACCCTTTCAGTGCTATGAAACGATATATCGTTGTTTTAAATAATCTCTAAGGGATGTAGAGAGGAAGGTTATTTTAACAAAAAGTAGCAAAACGGCCATTGGTGACCTGTATGTTCATAGGATATACTAACAACCACTTAGCTAAAAGATTCGCCCAATCTGATGATTTCGAGGTGTAGCCTATGTCTAAACCAAGGATTATGAACACCTCACTATGCCCCAGTGGTTGTAGTATATCGCTACAAACACACAGGTTACCAATTATTTGCCACACATGACGGGAATCGAACCCGAGCAGACGAATGCCACTGGCCAAGTGACACACGCCCTAGCCTTCTCGGCTATCTGTGCTTGAAGACTGAGGAGTCAAAAACCGGTATTTAAGCTGACGCCACAGATTGCAAACAGATAGCGCTACAGATGGTTGTTCAATGCGTTACTAGGTAGCAGCACTAGTTAGTCACTTTAGTCTATTTAGATGATATTTTTCAGTTGAAACACAACAGTGATCATAAATGCGTTCCTGAGACTTTGCTGCAAAACATTATTTTCCCTATAATGGCTATATTATGATAACCTCGACCAACTAAATCAAAGTTAAATTCAATATTACATTATAAACTATATGTCTTTTGATTTTATGAGATTTTGGTTTCAAACAATGCTATCAGATCATAAAAATTTATAGGAAAACCAGGAAAAATACAACAAAACTAAGTTTTATTTATAGTTTACTACAAATAGGCCTACCTGGATTTATCTGTGTTTTATATTTTCTTAAATTGTCTTATTATTCAAAATTAGCCTAATTAATAAAATAGTGACAACATTACAGTTAAAATTCAACAACAGGTAATGGAATTGAAAGGCAAACAAAAAATTCTTACGAAAAAATACTAATTATTGGCCTAGCACTGAAAGGGTTAATCGCAATTTTCAATGTGTCCTATTACACTTCAATTTAATTAATAGTAAGTTTCATATTTTATAGTAGGCTAATAAAAAAGTTTTATCGTCTTTTAGATTTATTATGTTCCCTTGAACTTACCTTTTAGTTGTATGTCACGTAAGTTTACCAAACGGTCACTGTTGTTATCGGCCGGCCGTGTCTGCTACAACCAGTCACGTCTGCTACGCCGGTCATGAGGTAAAAATACTAAATGACGGTAATACATTTTTATATAAATATATACTTATATAAAACTGATGAAAAAATGTATTCACATCTCACAATAGTAAATTCATTATTTTAATATATATTTCCAATGATTATATTTTAGGTATTAGGTATCAAATTATGATACACTTCCAGCTTCAACACCATTTTCTAATTTTTAAAGGTTAAAATTATTAAATCGGGAAATAAATACATGTTATTCCTTTTCATTCTTTATTTAATGAAACATTCTTTCAGTAGTTTGCAGAATTTGTCTTAAACTCCTTTTTTTTGTGGGAGGTTAAGTTAATGTGACCCGTCTGTTCTCCATCCCTGTTATGGTTGGCCCTACCTACTGGAAATGTTTATTTTTTAATATACAAATGAAAATTGTGCTCTGCTGCTGCATTTTAGTGTCCCCAACAATATGTGAGACTAAACTATCAATAGTTGAAGTCAATTTGAAAATTTTAATTTAAAAAAACTTTCCTTTAACCTAATTTTCCCAATTGGTGGTGTTGACCCATACAGTTAAAGAACTTGATAGATCAAAGCTAAAGGAAATGGGAAATCTTAGAATGAAAGAATTTGTGAGAACTGTCCTACAGGGTAGTAGATTTATGGAGTTGATATGCAGTAGAAAGACCAATAAGATAAAAGTAGGCTAATGGTAAAAACCTTTAGAAACTAAAAATTTTTAATTACAGAAACTTTTAAATTGTGTGAGGAACGTTTGTGATAGACCTATAGACTAAGAATAATGTGAGTGTTAATCAAGCAAAAACAAAATTGTATTTTCAGTAAATATGGTCTGGTTATGTGATAGCGTTAATAATATTCTATTTTACACCAGGAACGGAAAATGAGGTTTTGCAGGGTGGAAATGATATGAAGTATATGTCTGAAAAGTAACAAAAATCACGATGTATAAAACAATTCTGCCTAAAGCTTAAACTTAATATTTTGCAAAACATATAATATTGAATACTCTTGCACCAGCAAACCTGAAGGCAAAGTCAATTTTAATAGTAGAACAAATTTTACTCATTAAATTCAGGATATTATAAAATAGACTTGGCTTAATGAGTATGGTACTTAGGTTTTCTGATACAAGGAACAAAAAAGCTGGTCACAATACAATCTTTAAATCTTGGAATGAATTTAAAAGTGTTCCGTTCCAATTTCACTGACAGCAATTAATTGATAGCCTATATTCTACGTAATGTTACCCTGGAAGACAAACCTCCCAAAAACTCTTTTCCTAGGATTAGGTTGAGCTAGTGTGCTACTACAGTTAGCCTAAGTAGATGTTAGTTTGAATGTTTGATTTAAATTTGGATATTAACTGGACATTTCTTATGAGAATATCTACCCAAACGGAAAAAATCCAGGTATCCCTACGGTTACATATGAGCAAATTAAATCAAACACTACTTATTTTTGGCATCATAACACTCTAAAACGAAAACTACTATAACCTTGACCTAAGTCTTACCATAGGCCTAAAGATTACGGTAAAGCTCTTCCCTAGAGAAAAATTTACTGAAATCTAATCCTTGAACAAAACATTGATGCCGTACTGCAACTTAGCATTTAGTTATTTAAGTTGCTAGACATCGAGAACAACATGTACAGTAGACTCCCTCTTATCTGGACACCTTTAACCAAACATCGGTTTAACCGGACTACACTCTGAAGAAATGACATCTCTTTAACCGGACAATTTTTATCAGCACATCGGTTTAACCGGACTAGATCGGCAGGAAGTGGACTGTAGACTACTGAACAACTGTTCTAGTAGGAAAGATTTGAGACCAGTGATCACGTGTCTAAATACAATGCTCTCCTAAATTTAAGTCAAATACTGTATATAGTATACATTTAAACGGTCCGTTTTAACGAGTTTTTGGGGACGTCTGTTTAACCAGAAAACTTGTTATCCGGACTGGCCTCGGTCCCGAGAAGTCCGGATAAGAGGGAGTCTACTGTACGCCTAAATGTAGTTGCAACAAATCTTTGGTAGTAATATATGAAAATGGTTAAGTTAAGTCTTTTTGTTCAGAGCTAAGTGTATTTAAGTTTTAAGTAAATAAAATAATTTCTGATTTTAAGTCTTTGGATGGAAATTTGTATTATACATAGACCCCTAAAAAATTTTTTTTTCAGTGAATGAGCTTGTAAACAACTGAACAATGCTTTCGCTTGTAGTTAATTGATTTTACCAATGCAAAAAACAGTTTAACCTTTCAGAGGTCGCATTGATTTTCAAAATGGGAGAGGGTGCACCCGGAGGTTACTTCCAGGTTGATAAAAACAAACATTTATTAAGTAAAATTTGTATTTTAGTGCATAAATTAAGTTTTATTTTTAATTTTAAACATAAAAAATGTGTTTAGTGAACTCTTAATTATAAAATAACGTAATTTAGATTTTATAAATGTAAAATTAAACTAATATTCTATCAAATGTTCTAACATAAAAGTAATATGAAGAAATCTTTTACAAGAATATATTAAAGAAGTTAATTCAAATTTTACCACAATGTCCTATATTGTGGTTTTAGATGATAACACTCTCAATACCTGATGTTTTAAGTAATTTAACATAATGGGTATCTTAATACTAAATGACTCTGTACATACGTCGTTCGTGAATCTCCCTTTCAGCTCGGCTAAGAGTGTTGCAATTTGAAATTAAACTTCTTCGCTCATCTTGTAAAAACTATATATTTACTAAATAATGCCATGAATCGTAAAAAATAATTATTTACAGTAATTGTTTACACAAAATAATCAACGCACACACTAAATTAGAGGTCGCATCACGGAAGTTGCCTCCAGGTTGTTTAAGAATCGGCAGAGCGCACACGAAATTTACTTCTAGCCTCTTTCAAAACCGAACAAAACCAATAAATATAAAATAGTAGGGGTGAGTTTAGACCTTCACTCGATTCTAGGAATGAGGTGCATGAGGTACAGTGATACTCACACTGCTGACACCACTCAAAATAATATAATCGCGAAAAATAAAACATCCCTGGAGGTTACTTCCGTGATGCGACCTCTGGAAGGTTAAAAGTCAAATTCCATGGTGTAAAGTGCTTTCTGACTACGAGACTATTTAAAACTGAAATTTTGATTATATCTTTACTTGAATTTATATTTTGAATACCGTTCCGGTACTGGCTACAAGCTCTGAGATATTACGTTAATGTATTATTACAATAAAAAAAATATTTAATATATGCTTGAGCTGCTAATATTGTTACTTGTTTGTCAGGCAGTTCATATTTGCCTGTTATATCTTAATAACTGTGCAAGCTTATCTCTTATATTACATTATGTAAGACATGTGATATAAAAACATCACACTGGATTTATTGAGCTGTGGGTAGTATCTTACTGTTTATGCGTTTCACTCACTGTCTTATCAAAGCACTTTCATCTGAATGTCGATTAAAAGTCCTATCACCCTGTGAAAACACATAAAACATTGATTGACATAATTTAAGGTTTTAGACATTATTGCATGGAAAGTTTAATGGGCTAAGACTATTATTTATTTTTAAAAATATCCATACTTTACTCATTTTTTGTGAGAGGCCTACATGATAGTGGAATAAATTTGGGTGATTCAAAAATTCAAGGCTATATCAGGGAAAGTTCTGCCTGTAGAATATGTATAATTCTCAGCCCCTAATCTGAACTAAGTTTTTATTGCGTTTATGATTTGGCCTATACCTGTCAATGATTAATGGACACTTTTTGTCTCAAACTCATTTCCTACAACTTCAAAAATTTTATTTCATGTTAGGAATTGATTTACATTTGGAAATTCATTGCTTTACTATAATTTCAGAAGAAAAGTTCTAGTACTGTTGTTATCATTATAGTTTGAAATAAGATTAAAGCCAGAAACAGAATTTTGTCTTCATCACACTTTAATGTTAACATAATTTTGAGATTTTAAAAGTCACCATAGCTATGAAAACCACCCTCTAAATAAAATGTGACGATGTCTATTGCTAATTTGTAATGTGCTGAACGACGGAATAAATGCCTTATTAATGCCTTAATGCTACATTTATATTATAAGCCTTCTTTACTGTAACCTAACTCAATAGTCATTTTATAAAAAAGTGGCCCTGAGTACCAGTTTATCATTTTAAAAGCTTCCAAATTTGACCCCCTCTGTAGTAGGCTATTTTGCACCTAAGGAACCAGATGACCACACTGATAGACTTATCCCTAGACTTACTTACTTGTAATACTTGTTGTCTTAATCCTTGACTGAAGTATCCTGGATAGATTGTGTCATTATACTAATATTTACAAAATTTACTACTTACAAAACTTACTATGCAAAATTTCTAAAATTTCTAAAATCTTTTAAACTTAGGCTGTGGTATGCGTGTCAGTTAATTCAACCTTGCATTAGCTGATTGTTAGGCAACTCCTCAAGACTGTACAGGGGCCTATTTGTGATCAAGCTCTTCAACTCGGTCTTGAACACTGTACAGTCGAGGTTCCTTTCGCTGTTTGGCAGGGAGTTGTAGATCTTTATTGCTGAACTAGGGTATCTCCTTAAGGCGTGGCTTAAGCGGCTATATAGGTCATGAACCCTTCTTGTTCCATATTCATGCCTATCACCAGACCAGTGATCACGTATCTAAAAACAATGCTCTCCTGAATTTAAGTCTATTATCACAGTGAACAATCCATTTTAACGAGTTTTTTGAGACGTCGGTTTAACCGGAAAACCCGTTATCCGGACTGGCCTCGGTCCTGAGGAGTCCGGATAAGAGGGGGTCTACTGTAGTAATTTAGATCAAGCGCAATCTGTAGGTAGCTCACATCAACTACTAAGATTTTTATAAAAAATCTAGCTACAAATTTAACATGGGGATGGAATGTCTAGTTGTTGTATTAATAGTCAAAGCCGACACGCTGGACTCACGAGGAAACTACGTCTGCTCGCATCGACTGACTGATAAGAACTGATAGTAAAGATGTGTTTGGCCTTACCAGTAAGTTACGTTTACATATTATCGATTCAATTCTTGTTCCATTAACCTATTGTTTTAATCGAGTTGAAGCAATACGACGTGTATTTCTAAACCCTGAAGTTCCAACCTTCGAAGAATCAGGATGTAGAGGGGCCTCTCTGGTGAGAGCCGCCGGGGGCCTCATAGATGGCTCTGTAAACAATGTATTTGCTTAGTGGTAAATAAATTTCTTATTCTCATTCTACACCACAAAAACACTAATGATGTATGTTTTGTCTGTGTTGCTAGTGCTTACTTGGAATGATTCAAAATCTCTATAATTGACCATCAGTAATGGGTAGGCCTATACCATTCACTACTGTTAACATACACCTCACTGCAGCCTCAAGTGTATCAAAGCCTTAGTTAACTCGATAGTGATAATTGAAAGAATCAATCCACTAGTTTATTTCAATACCAGTTCTTGGTTATTCCTAGTTTTCTACTGTAACACAAAATCAACCATACATTTGGTTTGTCACAGACATTTGGTCACGAGCTCAGCCCTAGGAGATGTCAGCGAAGGATGGCTCAGTAAGCTGCTGGTTCGTAAGATCGAACCCACCAAAGAACCTCACTCTCGTATGCTGTCCGATAAAGAGGTCATTTATGAACTACAGACTCACAACGTTCGACCAGACTCCACTTCCAAATACCTCGATAATTAGTAAGTCATACAAATATAACTAAGTTCATAAAATTAAAATAAGTTCTAAAACTTAACAATCTAAATAAAATTGGACCCTTATCTTACTAACCCTTTGCGGTCATAAGGCCACTACGTGTGGCCACGAGTTCCATAACGTGACAAGTTGCAATATATATACTGTGTTGATACCAAAATTTATCGATTCTCGATACCGATACCTACAAAATTGATTCTCGATTTTCGATTCCGATACTATTTTTTAATTGTTTTACCAAATTTTCTGAATGGATTGGTTTATACTTCACCAACGGGTAGTATAAACCAAAGTAAGTCCTTCCATTGAGTATTTCTGAGGTAATGAGGTGTTTTTCAAGTAAGAAAAAAATTATGCAGCTACGATACATTCCAGATAGCCAATTTCCAACTAACTACCTACTATATTAAAGATAAATGAAGAGCTAACAAAAAACCAAAAATAAAATAATATTTTAGAGGTGTGCTAGCTTGGCATTTTCAGTCAAGCCAAACTCGAGGTAATATCGTGATCATCGCCAGCGGTCGTTGAGATATCATCTGATCGTCTTCAGCGATCACTGTAAAATATGAAATAACTTCCTAAATTACGGAAAAATCATCACTGTCTATCGCGATCGCAGAAAAATCATGAACGTCTCCCGCGGCCGTGTATACATCATCATCAAATTCTGCGGTCAAGGAAACGTTATCGTCGTCGTCCACGATCGCCGAAACATCATCGTCGTCTCTCACAGTCATGGAAACGTCGTTGTCCGCAATAGCGGCAAAATCATGAACATTACAATCATCGGCAATCATCATCGTCTCCCGCGTTCACGGAAATGTCAGTCATCATCCAAGATAGCGGCAAAATCATGAACATCTCCTGCGGCTGTGACGGAAACGTCATCGTCGTCTTGTGTGTTTGCAGCAATAGCTTTAATTTTCCAATCACGGGGTTGTCACAGGTATCGGTATCGGAATCGACTTTAGACGATCGATTCTGTAACAATTAAATTTTTTAGTATTCTTAAGTATTTCTAAACAAAATTATATTTTGTGGTCAAAACTGATTCAAAAACAATAAAAATGGTTCATTTACAATAAAATTTAAATAAAAGAAAATCATATCCGAATTATATATTTTACAAGTTACATGAATATTGTACACTATTATGCAAATTACCAACTATCCTTTGTCAATTTAGTGATAAGGAGAAAAAAAAACCTGTCTAATATATAATATTAATTTCAAAGCTTAGTACTTGAAACCAAATAATATAAAGTAGTATTGTATATAAAATAAAATAAAATGCTGATATTCCTCCAAATCTTCAAACTCAATCAAAATGGAAAGGTCGTCATCTCCGTCAACTGTAATAAATCCTGTATGGTATCGGATGTTAGGTAGCTTTTTGTGGCTATTCAAAATCATAAATATAAATTTATTGAAATTTAAAGGCTTTAAAAGGACTAATGCTCAACACGAGCTGATAACTGAACTCGCTAATGAAAAACAACGGCTTGTGGTTGTCTCCAGATGGTTCCGATGATTGTGGAGGGAGAGCATTATTATTATTATTATTACTACTACTATTATTATTATTATTATTATTATTACTATTATTATTATTATTTGTCAAAGGAGCCAAGGTACCCAGACGGCTACCTGGTACCCATTTAATTAAACATAACCCGGGCCCCATAGTGTCAGCTGGAGAGCTTGCGCACCAACCTTGAACACCATGGGTGGATGACTTAAGGCCATCAAGCTAACCGGCTGCCAAAGCAACCATTCGGAAAGAGGGTTACCCCTCAATCCTAACCAGGGACACCGGTTACTTGGTCGCACGTACACTCCAAATGGGTTCCACCAAGGCCCAAACCCTAAAGGATCATAATGGAATGCCCTGAACGCAACACAGTGCAAGCAACACTCGGGACCTAACTAATCCCTGACAGGCCGAAACCCGCCATCAAATATCTCTGGGAGGGAGAGCAGCACATCCCAAGCGGAGAGAATTGAAAACAAAATTACAATGCTAAATAATTTGAAGAGAAACAGGGGGCCACTATGGGGTGGACAGCCGAGCTGAACAGGAATCATGTAGAGGGCCACTACGCGTGGCCGGCCCAAGCTACCAACTTTAGCGCTGACAATGTTGCGTCATTAAACAAAATGAGAGGGCCAGTAAGTGTGTTCATCCAGATCTATAGGGAAAGAAAAGAGAACGATAATTATAACGGATCAACTAGATCTCTTTTTAAACCTTGCTAAGTGGGAGGTTGGCTACAAAATCCACTGTAAATCAAATCTAAAATAACAAAGTCCTACCATTTTGAATCCACCCATACCATGTCCCTATAAAAATATTTATATCATGTGCAACTTCCACGGAAGAAAGTTAGCTAAAACACATTAAGCCACACTTCAAACTTAAACTTCAATTTTCAAATCTAGTGTTGCCAAAAAATTTATTGATCGTTAAAGACTAAATAAATTGATTTTATAAAAATTAATGATGGTTTGCCACAGTGAGAAAAGCGTAAAGATGATTCTGTCACGGAAGGATGAGTTCAAATGTGACTTGGTGGCCTCGTGGACAGTGCAGGTGGGTGATCTGGACCAGGCGTTGCATCTGTGGAGGTATACCGGGGGCTTCTCTAGCATCGACAAGTGTAACAATCTTCTGGCAGTGGATAAGGTGCGGCTTACTGTCAACCTTTAGATAACTAAACACTAAGTACAGTTATTGTTTAAGAAGTATAATATAATGATTCGTCCCAGTATTCTTAAAGCAATATATCAAGATTTATCTTGGTATTTCGTTGAAATGAGCTATTATTCTTAATATGCCATCATTCCTTTCTGAACTTTTACTTAATTCAAAGAAAATACTTTCACTATTTCCTCTTTTTGGTAATCATCTTGTAACAGATCTATTAATATTTTTGTAAAAGTCATTTTTTCAACTTCAGTGAGAATGAAGGAGTTCCCTACAAATAATCGCAACCATTCTTTTTTATTGGCAAAATGTGTTTTTGGAGTACTTCCGCAAAATAGTACGGCATAGTGATAGATAGTTTGGGAATAAGCAAAATAAATTTTTGTCACAATTGAGATTAATCTAATTAAATAAACAACTTAGGATAATCTTACAGAGGCTATTTCTGTGTAATTCCCAGTTGGCCTATACGGTTTGAAGGTGGAAAAAATAAAACTGTGCTGAAGATAACACTAACTAAAACCATAGATTTAAACTTTCATGTGCCTACACAAATTACTTACCCAATCAGTATAATTCAGACTTATCAGCAACTGTTGACTGAGAGGGGCAACTACCTCAGGTCTCGTCATCTACAGTACCTGCTGGCATTCAGTTACTGGCCACCAATCTCGCCTCGCAAGGGCAACAACTTGTACGAGATACGCAGCTACAGCCTCAAGCCGGGAACTATGATAGAGTGGGGAAACAACTGGGCAAGAGCCATCAACTATCGCCGCAACAACGATGAACCCTTTGCAGCCTTCTTTTCCCAAATTGGAAGGCTTTACAATGTTCATCATATTTGGTGTAAGTTGACCTTATCCATCCTTGTGAGTCAGTCTAATACTAGAGATTTAAAGTTTTTTAGCCAAGCTGTTTCTGGTCTTAAAGCTTGAGTGGTTTAACATCATGTCAGTTAATAAAGCCAATCTTTTATTATTGTAGAGTTGCCAAGAGGCATGGAAGCGTGAATTTAGGTGACCACGAAAAAGTGGGTGAACTATGCGTGAATTACTTCTTTGGACCATGAATTTTCAAAATCATAAATGATAATTTAACATATATTTTTGCCAAATAAAAAAATCCATATAAAAAAACCCTGCCGTCTTGAATGCATACTACCTGCATACTAAGAAAATTTCCAATTATCACAAAGCAAAGTGAATTTCTTAATTTATTATTCTCAAACTGGATACATTTTTACTTTAAGATCTTTGCTTATAGACTATATTGTAATATTTTAAACATTGTTTGTGTCTGCAGTGTAATATAATTAAAAATAACTTATTATTTGAACTTAAAAGCTACTAATTGAGTTTTCTTCTTCTAAGGTTTGAATTTATCGTTATATTTTCTCAAATCCGATTTATATTTGATTAATAATCACATTGTTTTATCACACACAAGCTTATTTTTATGTATATCCTTTTTCAACTGTGGAAGTTAATCAATAGAAACACACAAAACAATTGTCTCTTAAATGTACAATTCTTAGCTAGGCATCACTCGTTTGGGGTGAAATTGCAAACTGCCTATAATTTTTTAAGACCAATGAAAAAATCCTTGAATTCTGCATGCATTTTTTTACCTCACTTTGGTGGCGACCCTGTTCGTCTTATTTGCACAAACTGTCTGCAAAGATTGCACAATCAAAATTGTAATTTTGCCACTATCACTAAAGACCATAGTGTCTCTATGATTTTGGGAGATAGGTAATCACAATGCCACCACAATCAGTGGAAAATAATTTTCATGCCACTGCAGTGTGTACTAGTGCCTCATGTCCTAGCTTTTTACCTGCATTTGACTGAACTAAGGACTTGTTACCAGCTTTATAAGTGTTAATGCCTGTTTATTTCGTATAGAGTTTGTCCACAAGTACTATGACTCATCAGATAGAACAACTAACCATTTTTATGGCTTATTCAATAGTGCATTCACATTGGCTGTTCATGTCCGTGACTTCTCTCAGCTAATTTAAAATACGGTGAATGTGAGTTTTAACACTTTCGATGTCATTCAATTTCGTATGCTGAATCAGGCGGTGAAGATAAAACTGATTAAGATTCTTGGTAACCAATGTAGTCTCGGTCCCATCAACCTCGGTTAATCGAGAGTGTACTTTACAGGAATATGTAGTATTTATTTACTAATGAGACAGTATATTACAATATTATATCCATTAAAATGGCTTGATTCTCATGAATAAGCTTTTGTGAATGTTGCAGGTTATGAGAACCTGCAGGCTCGTAAGGACACTAGGGAAGCAGCCTGGAGGTCCCCAGGCTGGGACGAGTGTGTCGCCTACACAGTTCCTCTCATACGAGAGATGCACTCACGCATCATTGTGCCCACCTCATTCTCTCCCACCCAATAAGTCTGTATTTTTATATTGGCTCGTTATTCCAAAAATATTCATTTTATTTCTTTATATATTTTTCAACTATTCAATTATATCATATGTTTAAAGTCATTGAAAGAAGTTGTGATCAAAGCAACGTTACGTTTTCTTTAGATGTAATTTTTATCTGAAACAAATATTGTCAGTCAGTACAGTTGCACAAACCAGTTATCTTTAGTATTGTTGTGGTTCTATTGTTTATGGTTCTTACTTTGTTGTTATGTACAATAATTTTGTTATGCTGTATAATAAATACATATTTTCTAGGATAAACTATCTTATGCATTTTTAATTAGTGCTCATGCTGAACTTAGTTACTTTAACATACTCGTATGCGTTTGTATGTAACTATGTATAGTTATCATGACATCAAATTTGTATATTCAATAAAAGTTTTATTTTCTCATAAGTAATTATTTTTTGTGCAAGTTTCACTAACTGTTCTAGGCTATGTCTTTGATTTTTTATTTTGATTTAAAGGGATTAAAACTAAATAAACAGAGTTAAATCATTGGCTTAGTAGTAAAAATGGAGTACTATCTCATAAAACTGTGGTTTATTAATGTAATAATAGAATTTTTACAACAGCTCTAAACAGTGGGGAATTGTGACTTATTAGGCCCCTCTTTCACAATACGATTTCGGTCGCCCGACCAAATTCCAATTGTGAACCATTGGATGTTATAAGCGCTCACCCACACACCAACAGTCGAACAACGAACACAATCGGTCGGCGTGCAGTCGTCCACTGCCATTATGATCCACGACTGTCGCCCGATTCATTGGAACAAATTGGCGTACGTAACCAAATGGAGGTTGGCCCACGCACCTATATTTTGTTGGCAGTAGCCCGTTCTCACCAGTAGTCCTTGATGCGTTTCCTTGTACTTTAAAATAAATATATCCCTATCCTACAACCTGTACCTTTGCGTTATTCCCTACCCCTCCGTACTTCGTACTCCGAGTTAAAAATTACAAGGCTAAGGTGGCCTTGGCATATACTGCTTCTGTACATTGGAGTGAATAGTGACTAACATTGAAACTTACAATCATCATGTCCTTTAAAAAGAGTGTGGTATGCTCTTGTGGGTTCCCTATTTTGATTAAAATTAGTATACACCTATGCTCAAACCACGTGAACGAGCACCGTCCATATCGTTAGTTTGAGTGTATTTTTTTTTCAATTCAATGCCCTAAGGACATTTTTTAGCGTGATAGTAGTAAAGCCAGCACTTTTGCTAGATTCGGGATCCATTGTTTTACTATTTTATAAATGTAACCCCTCTTGAGATTGTTGCGCAACGATTACACTCGTACACTGCTACAGAGTAACTGTTTGTTTTACCGATCAAGTGTCGTTGTGTGGGCAAGGACCGCTCCACCGATCCAATGTTCTTGGTGGCATGATGTCGAGCAACCAAAATTGTTGTGTGGGGGAGGAACCTTAGCCTTGTAATTTCTAACTCGGATTACGAAGTACGGAGGGGTAGGGAATAACGCAAAGGTACAGGTTGTAGGATGGGGATATATTTATTTTAAAGTAAAAAAAAAAAACATTAAATTCAACAGCATAAATCGATTAAATTAAACCTCGCCATTACAAACTAACATAGTTTTAATGAAATAATTTAACTAACAAGAAATTAATTTTTTCATCGAATGGAAATTATTGTTTTCATGGTTAATTCAACTAGACCTAAATGGTAATGGTTAATGTAAAAACAACAGATCTTTATTTATTAGAAGTCTAAATAACCAAAAATAGGAAATTCATCCTTAAAGTCTAGATGAAGGGGAATAGGCGGATAAAAGATAGCGTTTACACAATGATACGAATTTATTTATTAAAAATTATACACAATATTAGCACAAGCCAGGAGATGATATATATGACATTGAAGCATAGCTTTGTAAGGATTTGCACCTCACATGAATAATGTAGAAATGTCCCAGTTAATTGGTGTTACATTTAAGGTAATCATATATTTAAAAATTCAATAATCACAATACATTTTGATTTTATCAAACAATACAAATATGATTGTAAGATAGAAATCCTGACAGATTCTGAAAATATTGGAATCTAGATAATCATTTGTACAGAAACGTAAACAATTTATACCTGCAAACTATAGGTTTTGCAGTAGTATAAATGATTAAACATTTATTTTCACACCAACTTGTATATATTCTTATATTAAACTTGTCTGATAGCAGTATTACTTTTTATTGGCTATTTATTAGCTGTTTGGTCTTGTCACTATACTCTATTAAGAGCAAGGTCGAGGAAGTTTTGGTATTCAAAGACAATAAACCACAAAGCAAATAATTGCTTAATTGAGAAATTCTTTTGCTTAATGACAGTAATAATAGAATAGCTGTGTCCGGGTTTCACACATAGAGGAAAATACACATAAATTTTGTGGAAAAAATATGTACAAAGTGAGACCATTTGCCTTTTCTTTTTTTTGTGTCCTAGGACGCTAGGCACGAGCCTGGGATTGTTTTTCACATTACTTCAGGCTAGACCTAGGAGTTGCGGCATTATCACTTAGATAAAATCCATTGGTGACTTGGCGGGGATCGAACCCGGGACCTCAGGGACTGAAGTCCCGCGCTCTAACCACTACGCCAGCTCGCTCCCCGAGACCATCTGCATTGAGGCATTATTTTGCCATAATAATGTGATCCAATCAGTCTTTCTTAACCGTTTGAACCCCTGAGATTATTGGTTGATTTGATTATTTTCTTACTTTCTTGATTCTTTTCTTCTGTATCTTGTGAGACAGTAAAAATGTTCATACAAATCAGTTGTCAGTAACTGCAACCGTGCACAAATAATAGTGTAGCTAACAAATAATAATACACCATTTAGTCAACTTCCGAAACGTCCAATTATTATTATTAGGAGGCTCTCCTATTTAGATTTGCCATTGACAAGTTAGCTCCTAATGAGACCTGACTGAGACAGATTTGAACCCACAACCTGATGGCATTGTACACTGAAGGGCCTGTGCATTGATCACAAATAACCGTCTGTCGCACAAGCCCTACAACAGTTTACCAGTAATTATTTTTAAATTATGGCACCCCATTATATAGTTCTTTGTGAGTCAAATGGTTAACAATATAGATACCTAATTTTTCTAAAAATTTGAACCCAAATGGTAGATTTAAAAAAATGAATGAACTAAGAAATATATAAATTGTTATAGTTATATTAATTCAACATTCACTTCAAATGTGGAAAAATAAGCTTTGTATGGTGTAAACTCAACATTTAAATTATAGTTTCCAAGTAAATTCAGAAATGTCTGTTTGATATGGATGGTGTTGATTAGCCTTGTATCAAAGCATCTTCATCTTCTTCTTCCATGTCATCATCGGCTCCTGGCTCTCCGAGGGCATGCACAAACTCTGAAACATTCCGTCAGAACAATAAAATTGAATAAGTTAACAGGTGAAAACGATGTTGCTAAGATAATGGTCAACCAAAATTAACATAGGCTTTTTAATTTAGTTATTAATAAAAAAAAAACTACTTACAAAAAAACACAACTTACCGTAAAAGTCGATTCTACCATCACCATCCACATCTACTTCTTTGATCATGTCTTCAACTGAAATCAAACAATTAGCCCGTGAATAAAAGTTTGAGTGAAATGTTGATAAGTAGATAGTTTCCAGGTGAGAATTGCCAAGCATGGAATTTTATGCAAGTACTATTAACACCTTCCCGCTTCCCAGCTGAGACATGTTAGATACCTTTCATAGGTTAGTTTTTAGTTTTAAATTTAATGATTTTATATTTTATTATGTTTACAAAGGTCTTTACTGAATTTCCCATATAGTGAATGAGCTATTACCGTAGGTGGCATGGTAAGACCCAGGACCGATATACTTTTTCGTTTTTTATGTCCCTAACAACACCATCCGATCAAATTCATATATACAGTTTGTTCAAAAAAGGTGGGGACATAATTTACGTAGTGATTCCTTGGGTCAAAATAAAGAGAAAATAAAAAATTAAATTTTTTCAAAATCGCTTCGTTAACCAGATATCCACCATTTTGTAATTTTTGCATGGACATTTTTATCTTCGTTTTTTTACCGATCTTTATGAAACTTGGTATGTATGTAAAATAAATCCATGTTAGAAAAAATCATCTGGATTCAACTAAAAATACCAAAATGGCGGCCACTTAAAGTTTTTGAACTTAAATTTCTCAAAATGGCTGATTTTATGAAAAAATGTCAGGTACACTTTTATCTGACATTTTTGATTCCCTATCAAACTATACGAAGCTCAAAAAGATCGGATAAGAAATAGCTGAAATATTACAATTTTTAGTTGTAAATTGGGGTAGACTAGGCAGAAGCTAGTCAGGTTGGCCTCATTTTACAACTAAATACTTTCGCCGCAGCAAACCTGCAGACTAAGTGAATTTCCATTTGTCTGATATTTAAATAGCATTAGGTTTAACAAGTCAAGTACCTAGGTTTGCTGCTACATGGAGGATAAACAAGTGTTTTTTAGTAAAAAATTATTAGCTTAGTATAAAATAAATACATTTGCCAAGTTTGAACAATATATATCCATAAACAAGCAAACTACAACAGTTAACTTAGTTTTTCAAGCTCTTCAAAATGGTCTAGAGAGAAAGTGGGAAATTTTATGTATTGAGGGTAAAAAACGAGAAATACCATTTTATACCCCATAAATTCCCCCATAAAATCCTGTTCTAATGGTCCAATCATGCTAGTTCGCAAACTCATTCAAATAAACGTAGGTTTACATGTTTGTACCAAATTTCATCAAAGTCGGATCATTTTTGCTTGAGTTATCGTGCTGAGGGACACACACACACACACACACACATATATATATATATATATATATGAATTTGAACAGATGGTGTTTTTAACCTCTGAAAACATCAAAACGAAAAAGTAAATCAGTCCAGGCCTTAACATGAGACCTACGGTAATAGCTTATTCCCTATATGGGAAATTCGCTAAAATCATACAAAATGGGGCAAACCTGACTAGCTTAGCCTTTTTCTACCCGATTTTACATCTAAAAATTGTAATATTTCAGCTATTTCTCATTAGATCTTTTTGAACTTTGGTAGCGTTTGATAGGGAATTAAAAATGCTAAATAAAAGTGTTCTTCAAATCTTTTTATAAAATCAGCCTTTTCTTAGTAATTTAAGTTTAAAAATTGAAATAGCTGCCATTTTGAAATCTTAAGATGAATCAAGATGAACTTTTTCCAACATGGGTCTCTTTTATCTTAACATACATACCAAGTTTCATAATGGTCGATTGAAAAACTTTAAAGATAAAAATTGTAATGTGAAAAAAACAAAATGGTTGATATCTGGTTAACGAAGCGGTTTTGGAAAAAATGTTATACTTTGTTTAATTCTTAATTTTGACCCATAGAGCCATTTCCTGGAGTTAGGCTGTTTACTCACGGAACACCCTGTATATATGTCCGTTAGCAAGATAAATTGAGTAAAAATTATTTGATTTTGTTGAAATTTAGTACAAAGGTGTAAACCTAAATTAATTCGATTGAGTTTGTGAACCAGCATGATCGGACTAAGGGAAAGGGGGTTTATGGGGTAAACATTTTTTTCCCATTTTTGCAATGGTCGCAATAGCTACACATTCCAAGTTGCTGTTTGACAGGATTAAAGACTTATGTCCGTTAGCAAGATAAATTGAGTAAAAATTATTTGATTTTGTTGAAATTTAGTACAAAGGTGTAAACCTAAATTAATTCGATTGAGTTTGTGAACCAGCATGATCGGACTAAGGGAAAGGGGGTTTATGGGGTAAACATTTTTTTCCCATTTTTGCAATGGTCGCAATAGCTACACATTCCAAGTTGCTGTTTGACAGGATTAAAGACTTGGTTCTTTGAAAGAACCGAATTTATCACTCTAGTCGATAGGAGAATTGCCACTTGTTGATATTTTTTGTTGTTTTGATTGGTATGTCTGCTATAGATTTATCTGGTCTATGACACTAACCTTATCTACACTGTACTTCTCATGTAAGTGGATATCTTTGTTATAGAATTGATTAGGGATTTATATGAGGTTAGTACATATTCAAGATGTAACTAAATTAAATGGTTTTAGATACTTTGGTTCTTATAGAATGGTAAAGATTGCTTACTTTCTTCTTCAGACAAATCTTCTCCCAGACATTGAAGAACAGCCCGCAAGTCAGAAGCACTTATGTAGCCTCTATTGTGTTTATCAAATACCTAAAGGAAAATCACAATTAATTGTTTGTAACCCTATGTATTGAATGTTATGTATATAAGAAACAATTAAAAAACAAATAGTCAGCTTTTAGATCAGTCGTTCTGTTAAACTTTAACCAAATTTTGTTTCCCTTATTAAAATAAAAACTAGAAACTAAAATTCTCTTTTCACAACTTTGATTCCATTACCAGGCTTAAAGAACAAACTTTATATCCCCACTTTACTTCCACTATATTTCACCATTTAATAATTTTTGTGGAAGTGAAAGCGCTTTCAGAAGAGATTTTTAATTAGAAGACTTATTATAAGTGCCGACAAAAGAGAAAAAATATACATGTTCCTGAGTAGCACCGAGCCTCTCATATAGCCACCATGTTTCAGTTTCATCACCAAGACTTTAAATTTTAAAATTCATATGTAAGAATATCAATGTGGTTTTATGGATTTCAATAAACTCATTTCATCTATGAGGGACCTTTTTTAAAAGTAACTGCCGTTTCTGCGTATAGCTCTTGGCATGTCGAGGCTTCTCGCTGCTTACTGGCTTAATTTGTGAACAGAATGGTTTCCATTGCCGCTCTATTGCTGACGTGTACAATTTGCTGTGTGCTGTGTGTCTATAAAACTAAAATTATTGTCTCATCCACTGCATACGGGGTCAATGCTTTTGACTGCAAAACAATATTGGCTGTGGAAATTCATCGCCAGATGACTGAAGATTATAACCTTAATGCAATGAGTTAGGTTAAATGCAGAAATAGGTTAGGGAGTGTTCAAAAATGGTTGTGAAAATGTCTACTTCGGAAGGAATTGTCATTTTGGTGGGTACCCAGAATTCTCACAGAAGACCACAAATGAAAAAGGTTTTCACAGCCATTTATACACTTCCAAACCTACTTTCCCACTTTACCCTCACTCAGAGCATATTTTAAGGGATTTCCACCGGGCGACAGTGGCGCCGAACTTACCGGGGGTCTGGCGGTTCCCCCCGGAAATTTTTGCATAAGTTAAAGCAAAGTGAAAATCACACATTTCTACGTATCTTTTAATGAATTTTTCGATTATATTTGCTTGTAAATAGTCCACTTAACACGTTCACTGCGGGTGTATCCGATCGGATACGGGCCGTGCGCTGTTCAGGTGCTGCCGTAACCGATCGGATACGCTCGGCAATGCCTTTTGTATTTCATCGTTTTTGATCTAGCGTCGGTCGAAGGCAGACCTATTCCACGTTAGCGTGTAGTGGGTGACTTGCTTTTTGTTGTGTTGTAGGTTGGTAGTAAAATTTCCCCATTAAAATCCCCGTCTGTCAAACTTAAAAATCAACTTGTCCCGTCTTTCTCCCTCCAATTGGCAATACGATGGGACCGGCTACGTTCCAAGCAGTGCTGCTATCTGTGAGTGTTTAGCGAACTACTTCGACTCTTGTTATAAAACAGGACATCACCGCACGCTATTTGCTATTCGTCATACCGAAATATGAGAGCCAATCACCCGGCAATCGGGTTTGTTCGACGCTGCGGGCTGCGCCGCACTAGGGCTACGCCTGCCATTTGATGGCCCGCAGTGAACGTGTTAATCTCACTTAATTACGTATTCTAGAACGTTGTAACAGGCCAAGGCTCCTTCACAACATCTTTTGGGCCAAAATCATAGCTCAATACTGTACTCTAAAATATTTATATCGTGTTATTTTTTAAATTCCGATACATTTAAAATGTGAATCATAAAAAAATATGCCAGCACCACCCTCAGTCACTGAGCTACAAAATCTCAGCAGTTAACATGTTATTTTATGGCCTGCCCTCACTCATTGCATTAGGGCCATAACTTTTGTCATTTTGCAATAAATGTCACCATTGAGTATGTTTATTGTGGTAAAAAATTGTAACATTGACCTTACCTCAAATTTGGCGGGAAATTTAATAACATAACATTATTTAAATCGTGCTAAGCGGCAAGCCGCCTTACAAGCGAACTACAAGGCTATTCGCAAAAACAATATCCTTTCTTAAAAAACATAAGTTGGTAAATAGCTGCTGACAAAAATATACACAAGTTTCTAATTTCAGAACTGTTTGTTTTGGTACATTCTCTGGTCTTTCTTAGGATCATTGTAGATTGTGTTGCATAATAATATATAATTATAATTACAATTAGAATTGCATGAATAAAAAGTTCTTTACTCTGAATGCATCTCGGAGCTCCTTTTCTTCTTGGTCTGCAGTTTTTTCAGCTGTTGCTCCCATGTTGGAAACAATTTCAACAAACTCCTCAAAGCTGAAGTAACCATCTCCTGAAAATTCATAGAGCGAATTAATCAAGTTTATTGTAAATTCAAGATATTGCAGAGGATTGAATACACTTACTAGGCAGCCTAGATCGGACACCCATGAACACATAATGCACAGCATTAAAGGCCGTTGGATAAAGACCATTGATTAAACATTAGGCCTAGTTAAATATTTAACTAGGCTGTCACATGTTTACATAGTATTTGGTTCCTGACTATAATAGTCTGCTAGGTGATATTGTGGTGATATGTGGTCAGACCACTGACTGAATGTCCTGATTGATTTCACTGATATCTGGCATCTCACTACCATGGGAGGTCTGGGTTATTTATTTAGTTAGAGCCAAAGTGTGAACATCTGAATGGCAACTGTGCTCTACCCCCTCCCTTTTACATATTTAATTCACTGAACAGAATTGTTTCTTGAATCCACCAGCATTATTTTGTTGAAATTCTCAACCAAGCCTTACATTCACCGAACGACAGTTGCAATATAATATAAACTAATCTACCTGGACCTTTATTATTTGACCTTAGGCTATCATTTGATAATATATTATGATCAATGATTAGGTCAGATTTTACGACGACAACTCCAGGTTTAAGTTGATGATGGGTGATGGTTATAGGATGTTAAATGAATGAGATGACTGCTTTCTTACTAAGATCAGCCAGTTCTGTAGCCAGAACCATCCATTAAAAATCTCAATGATCAAGAACAGCTGGCTCCGGTTTCCAGCCGTCAAAAATATCTAGGCATTTCTCAGGATCGAACTAGAAACCATTAGATTGTCAGGCTAGCATTATAACCACTCAGCTGCTTACTCTAAAAAAAGCAATACTTTAATCATGCAACAATTTTTTAAAGTAATTTACTCTACAAATGCATTTATTCATAATATTGTGAACTTAATTAATTGTTTTGAAAGTTTTTCCCCTTATCATTTTGTTATTTTACTCACCATCAATGTCTACTTCATGTAGCATCTGCTGCAACTCCTCTTCTCTCGCAAATTGTCCCAAACTCCGCATTACTCTGCCCAACTCCTCCTGTGTGATACTTCCATCTCCGTCCTTATCAAACAGCCTAAACGCTTCCCGGAACTCTGTTCAACATTTACAAGAATTAATTTATATAATAAGATAGTTTATAAGGCTGTGAGAGCCATTGAGTTTTTGAGTAAACAATTGAAAAGTGTCTCATTATTGGGAACCTCTTTGACTCTTATTTTACAAGAGTAGAGTGTCTTTTCTATGGGTAAGTTCTTTAAATACTCTGATCCCTATAAGTTCAACAATACATCCACGCTTTATAATCATTTAGGCAAAACTTCAAGTATACACAAAGATTAGGCCTAACACTTTCAAAATTTTCATCTAAATAATCCATTAAAGGATTTTGTTTAACCTAAAGTTCCATCTTATTTTTTTAATTAGGTACTTTTGTACATTGTCTTAGTCAAATGAGGATAAAATATACTCCATAATTACACTCAAGCAAGGCTGGATCTAGGTTTTCAGAGATTTGTTGCACTTACGCTGATGGCGTCCCATTTCTGATATTTATTCTTATATTCTTATATTATTTTTGCTTCTTTGTATTCTGTATTGCACTCTAGGCAAATCATAGTGTCTGATGAGAAATGTGGCATCAAGTTTTAAGTCTTATAAACATAGCAAGGGTTTTTTTTTGTCCTAGGACGCTAGGCACGAGCCTGGGATTGTTTTTCACATTACTTCAGGCTAGACCTAGGGGTTGCGGCATTATCACTTAGATAAAATCCATTGGTGACTTGTCGGGGATCGAACCCGGGACTGAAGTCCCGCGCTCTAACCACTACATCAGCTCGCTCCCCGACATAGCAAGGGTTAAAGACTCTACTTTGTGTTTTAAAAACTCACCATTCATTTGTGTTTTTGAAATGTTAGGTTTGTTAGATACAAAATCTTTTTTCTGGTTAGGTGGTGGTCTTTCAAACGGTTCTGTGGCCGAGTTTGTCGGTGGTCTTTCAAATGTTGATATTTCAATTGGTCTTTCATATTGTGTAGGTACATTTGTCTCCTTGGACGTTGGTGTCGGGTTTGTGAGTGGTGTTCCTGGGATGGTTGGTCCCAGGTTGATAGTTCCCTCTCCTCCCTCTGAAGCACCTCCTTCTGTAGTTCTTGTCTGAAATAGTTATCAAATTGATAATATTAAAATACACTGAAGACTTTACCGCTAAGAATATAAGTTTCTCACTGTTCCAATCCACACTAAAAGCTCTGCTTTATTTAAATTTGGATTATATGTTTACTACTTTAAAAATAGGAATAAACTCCAAATCCTTTTTGTACCTAAATATTTTTTTGTTTTAAGCCGGAATAGGAAAATTCATACTAAGAGTTTTTTAATTAGAAATAATTCCTAAATAAACTGATTGATTCCATCAACCTTACCCTAAATATTCCGTTCTGAGATACTCCAGAAAGTTTAAGCATTTTCAGACATTACATATCCTATGCACACAAATAGAAAATGCATTAATATTGGTAATCAACACAAGTCAAGATATTTCTTCAGCATTTTAATGTCAGTTTCAAGAACAAAAGATGTTTATCTACCTTTGCATACATTTTATCTTAAATAAATCTATAACATAACAATAGTGCGAAGAGTTGCATGTAAAAAAAGTAACACATTCTTCCTATTTTGTTGTTGATGTCATTCCAATGTTCTACCCTCTCATTGTCCCAGGGAGTCAACTTCCTCTTTGTAAGGGAGATTTTTGCTGTCTGAGACAAAACGTTAATTTACCTTCTCCCTCACAATAAGATCCAATTTTTGTGTGTGTATGTTTACGTATTGATCTAACTACATGAAGCTCAAATGTTTACTACAGTGCATTATCAAGACATTTTTTCTTATAACTTATAACTTATGTCAACTATCAAAGTGGTTACTATTTAATGAATCCTTGACAACATATCGATTCTCAACCATTAAGTTTACAGTAACATATTAATTAATATATTTAAAAATTGTCAGGTTGTTTCATTGCCTCCTGTAATTTTTGCAATTTGAATGTAATTGAGTAAAAATATGACGTATAACAATGCTATCTTTTATCAGTAGGTAAATATTTTAAAATGACAACTTATTTTTTCCAAAAGATTTTTTTTTTCATGTATGTGGTTTACAATTTTGAAATGCATATAATTTTGGGATTTGATATCTGAAGGTATTTTTGCCATGTACACTCAGAGAAATTAGGATTAGAGAGAAAATTTACATTGTGGTAACTTATAAGTTACCACAGTTGTACAGTAGAGTCTTGATGTTCCCGGCTGTTTAGAAATCCCAGTAGAGAAAACTAGTTTTTTAAATGGTAGAAATTATTAATCTTATAAAATATGTTAGTACAATTAGCCAACTACATATCACCCCAAAATTGTTGAAGCTAGCGATGTGGCTTTGAACGTCATGGGAGCTGGCAATATTTTCATGAACTTCATCGAAGTTAGCAATATCAATGTGCTATTGACGATGTTTGCAAAAATGCCGAGAACATTGAAGATTCTAGCAACAATATATGACAAATGTCGTCAGCAATGCTATTGAGGTAGCCGTGATCGTTATTAGTGATGTTAGCAAATCTGCCTGAAATCCCCTAGTTTTAAATAACTACAGTAGACTCCCTCTTATCTGGACACCTTTTAACCGGACATCGGTTAAACCGGAATACACTCGGCAGAAATGACATCTCTTTACCCTGACAATTTCTATCAGCACATCGGTTTAACAGGACTGGATCGGTAGGAAATGGGCGGTACTGAAACAACAGTTCTCGTAGGTAAGATTAGAGACCAGTGATCACATGTCTAAATATGTAATAATCATTATCGGCTTACACAGTATGCATTTAAATGGTCCGTTTTACCGATTTTTGGGGGACGTCGGTTAAACCGGAAACTCCTTTATCCGGACTGGCCTCGGACCTGAGGAGTCCGGATAAGAGGGAGTCTACCATAATAAAGTTACGATCGTCGACAAAGCTAGAGAATCCAGCAGGAATACTACGAATGTTGGCAAAATATTCAATATGTTGCTGCAAATGGTGATGATACTACAAACGTCAACGTCGGCGAAGGTTGTTATTTAACTTGGTAATTTCAGGAATTGTAACTGAAGACACCACTCCTAAATCACCTACATTCTTTTCCCTTGTGATTTGCATTACTCACTTTATTTAAGTCAAACTAAATAATGGTCCTAAAACAATATTTATTCATCGTAATATTTAAAATTATACAATAATAGTTATACTAAGGTTACTTACAGAATACATCTTAGTTAGGTTCACAATAGCTTAGAAGATAGTGTCCAACTTTAACAACAATGTAGGTACTGGATATCGTCCCTCCTTAATTCAAGTAAGAGGCAAATATAATCTTATCGCAACTGAGCAATATTCAATCTTATCTATCTCACTTTTCAAAGCAATGTGTAGTCAGATAGGTAGGAAATTCAGTTGTATTAAAATACCCACAGCAAACCTGCAGGCAGACTAAGCAAATTTTCATTTGCCTGTTTAGATTTACACTAAAATGTCTCCATAAAAATATCACATTTATATTCCCTATTTAATTAGTTTAACGAGTACTTGGGTTTGCTGCAACAGGGAGGGTAAAGAGTTTTTTTTTGTAAAATTTTAATAGTTTAGTAAGAAATAAAAGCATTTTCCAAATTTTGATAAAAATATGTTCATAAAAACAAACTACAACAGTTTACTTATTCTCCATAAAACTAACATGGGAATTTTAAATTTATATTTTTTGGAATTTTCTCCGTAACGATTAGGCGCATAATAACACTTCAATATATTTAATTATTTGTTTTTTTTAGCTCTACAAAATGGTTTGGAAAGAAATTGCTAAATTTTATGTATTTGGGTCAAAAATAGGAAAAACCAATTATTACAACCATAAAGCCCCGTTCCCATAGTTTGATCATGCTGTTTCGCGATAGATGTAGGTTTACACACGTTTATTGTGTTTATATAGGTATTAAATATAATACATGATATCACTTGGTAGGGGAGGGGTATGATATTAATTACACTTAGTTGTACTTGATTTTATCATCAATTCTTAACCAAAATACTTACACTGATTAATTATGTTTAGACAGTCATAAATTAAAGTGTGTATATCCAATAAATTAAAAATCAGAAGAGAATTGAAGATCAGAACAGAACAATTTAACTTTGAATATTTGTTAGATTATTTAGAAGTGAAATCACGTTTTGTTTCCTCCAAATATATCAGCTGTAGAAATGTGAAAAGAACACAAAAGAACAAGGAAATCCTATTTGGTTTTAAAGTATTGTGGCATCAAGAGTGGAAAGGCCAAAAGCTGTGGTTATTTTATTTTGTGATCTGTATTGGCAAGGAATATGTGCTGTGTGATATTAGTTGTGACTTTGTGTTTTGTAGTTATATGTCTGTTAACATGAAATCAGACAAAATACTACATTTAGTAGGTATTTATATTTATTTTAGGTGTTTAGATTGTTAATATAAAGTTTGTTTAAATAACTTAGATATCATTATATAGGTATACTAGAATTAAGGGTACTACATTTATTATTACCATCATATTGTAAGGTTTCAAATATTAAGTATTTGTGTCGATGAATTTCAATGTGAAAGTGGATGGTTATTGGATTTTTTCAAACTTTTGTTTCCTCTCTTGAACATTGCAGTGGATTTTTGAGTTTTAGTCTTTCCATATTGATCAGGAATGCAATGTATGGACATTGCTTCCCTGTGTTTATTTCATTGAGTAAATATCTAGGATTCTTTTACATTGACTGGTACAAAAAGATGTAATTTTTGATGTCTCATTACAGACATTATGAATTCAAAGAGAAAAAAATTATATGTAAAGTTAAATATTTAAAAATTTTTATGTTAAGAATAAATTAACATATGGCAGATAAGTTACAAGTTACATGACTTTGAGAACACTGCACAAGCTTTACAATGTTAATAGTTTTAGTATCCAACTGGTGAAGAGTGAAGAACAATAATGAAAAAGGTTTTTAGCTTTTCATGGGCATATTAATTAATTGCAGTAATCAACTACAGGTTATAACAATATAAAGATTAATAATACAATTTTTATTTTTCCACAAATATGCATTAATCTTAAACATAGTTGCGTTTTAGAAAACCATGTTGACTGTTGAGTCTTATTCACAATAAATTCCCAACAACACAAAACATGAAGACAACAATGCATATTAAATGGTCGGTAATAAAGTAATGGAAGCTGGAAGCATAGCAGCCAACAAACTCAATTTTCTTGAAACAGAGTTTGTTTACTTGTACAATCTGTGTCCACTTTTATAAAAAAAAAAAAACACCCGGTATGGATCAAAATTCCCCTAAAGTTATTGTACATTTATTGTAACAATATTTTAAAAGTATAACATTAGTATAGTTTGTAAGAAAGGGGATTAACCCCGTACCCACGGTGCTCATCTATGCAGACACTCTGTTCACATTACACTTAGTCGACCAGTTGGTGTGAACAGAGTTGAACAGTAGCATGAGCATCGATTTACAAATTCCTTTCCCAGCTGATGTGAGCTAGGCGATGACCGGTAGGGCTGACTTCCAAGAAACACCGTTAACCTATTAGCCACACACCCTATCGGTAATCAGCCAATGAGAAGGGCTAATGATGAAGATGGAGGGGTCAAGACTCTTGGAGCTGGAGGATCTGAAGGAAAACATCGAGGAGATCACCACGGGCCACCGGAGAAAGAAGATCGGGAGTTTGGGAGTGCGTGTATCGGTGTGTGTGCTTCTGGGACAATAGACAGTATGTAGAAAGAATAAAATATCTAACTAACACTTTGTCAAACATAAAAGTCATATAATTTGTCAGTAACTAATTCTTTTATATTTTTAATTGATTTTCTTTTCTTGTAAATTTAACGTTGCAAATTAATTTATCTTATTATTGTTGTTTTTTGCATTTTCAAAGTTTTCTTTTGCTGTTGTAACACTTTTAACATTTGTTGTTTTCGTAATTTAAATTTTTGTTCATTACACGTTGAGTAACACCCTTAAGCAGTCTTATGTCTCATTAACCTAACACCTCTTCACTAAGCTAAGCGAGTG